CTCTCTCTCTCTCTCTCTCTCTCTCTCTCTCTCTCTCTCTCTCTCTCTCTCTCTCTCTCTCTCTCTCTCTCTTTGTTTGATGCCGACAATGACGGCGACCACGTGCACACGGCAAGAGCAGCATCGACGACGGCGATGGGGGAAGCGCTACAACGAGGACGTCAACAGCTTGTCGCATTCCAGCGGGGTGAATGGCGGGGGGGGGGAGTCTCGAAAGCATACCAGCCGGCTGAATGGCGGGCGGGGGGAGTTTCGATTCGAACAGACCTCGTTTCCCCCCAAAAACGAGGCCACACCAAGACTGCAGAGTGAACGAAAAATAAATAAATTATAAACCTAAGAAGCGCGCGTCCGGCCGTGTCTGCAGAGGCTCAACAGGTCGAAACATTACCCCACACAATTTTCAGGGGTCGGCCTCGACCCAACAAAGGGTCCAGGTCGACCCGTTTTAAAAAAAAAATCCTTTGGATTTGGCACCTTCCGGACCCTCCGGACCGTACGTTCGTGCGGACATGGTACTCCGGACTGTCTGGACCTCGGTCCGGACGTCCGGAACGTAACCATGGTCTAAAGGCAGTTGAGTGATCGGGGTGCTTGGGAGGAAGGCCATCCATTTATCTCCATTTTCCAGCACTCTGATTCATGACAGTTCCTTGCTTTGGAAAAATCTTGTTTCTGCTGGCACGGGTCTATGTAAAATGTTGTCCTTGCCCAAATTAAATATATCACAGCTACTACCGGTCCTTCGGGGCTGCAGCACACGACATTGCCCACCTCTCCTTGATTTCCCGGGATTTGCACCCAGTCGGATTCCTGCAAAATGGGACCTTTTCTGAGAATTTTCCACCAGCTCAGGGAGATCTGTTCTATTATGTCCTCAAGTGCGGCTTCCGATCTATGGCTATATCTTAGTTTTTGCTTGAGCAGGTCCCGGTCGATCCAGTCAATTGTGGTTGTGTCCCAGCTATCGTTTATTCTGAGTACTCCCCTTTTCACCCATACACACCAGGGGGAATCCGTACAGTGAAGGACCCGTCCCCTGGTATCAAGTATTCTACTGTTCTAAAAAAGGGGCTGTCGTAATACCTCCTCCCATCTCTCCGGGTTGGTTTTGTCAGTGAGCGGGAGGTTCCTCCATGCCCCAGAAGGGATGGCCAGAAGGGGTCATTTCGCAGATCCTCTCTCGCCAACTCCCTTGGGAGGGTCGGGTTCTGTGAGCTGAAGTGCCCTCTCGGTATTGACCAACCTCTATTTTCTAGCCATGTGTAGAGGCCTGATGTGCAATGTTGTTTTGGGGGTCAGTCGTGCAATTTGTTCGAGGGCGAGTCCCTTCCACGGGATGTCAGGGCAAAACAACAGTCGTTGATCCATTGTAGCGCCAAAGCTTTAGTTTGTATTGCTGGGTCGATTATGCCCAGTCCTCCTTTGGCTTTTGGTTGGATTATGGATTGCCATGCAACCCTGCTGATCACCTTGTGTGATTCGTCCCTCCATAAGAATGCGGCTATTTGTCATTGCAATGGGCGAAGGGCTGTTTTATCTAGAGCCCAGATGGCCGATCT